AAAGTCTTGCGATGGTTGTAGAGTGTATGGCCACCTTAAGGGTGGCTTGGCACTTTATATCGTCATGCACCTCTCAGTTCAGATTACTTGATTGGTTCCATAATGAATGCACTAAGATATGGGTTACACCTGAGAAAGTTCTCATTGCTCTGAGTCTCCCATCTCTTCCAGGCACTCCTCATTCCTTTTGCCCTTCTAAAGACTCCTTACCTTTACAGATTCAATCTGCCTTGCACATCTGGGACTCCTATGTGGCTAAGGGGTTACTTTATTTCTTCTCTATTCCTTTGGTTACCTTGTCTGTGAACCAAATGTTTCCTCCTGCATTAGGTCAGCTTCATTTTTTAAAATGGTGTAGCATAGACAACGTTTCAGTGGCCCAAGCATTACAGGGCGGGGATCCCTCTTTACTGGCACAACTTTCCTTCAGTGTCATAATCAGCGCACTGCGTGGTTGGAATATTTACAACTCTCCCACTTTGTACAATCTCCTTCTCCAATGCCACTCCTCACCAGACCTCATATGACTTTTGAAACGGTCCTGACACAACCTCGTGACCAAGTGACTCAGCGAGACCTTCCTCATTTTAAAACTCATTGGGAAATGCACGTGAAGAGCTTAACTTGGACAAAACATTAGTTTTTACTCACCAGGCTTCTGTTTCCTATCTAGATGGTACTTATGTCTAGCCCCCATACATAAATGTGACCCCTTGATTTCCACCTTATGTCGGCCTGCTCGAGGGAACCGGGGACAATGTTGCATATTTGGGGTACACGTACAAAGGTGATCCCCTTTTGGGACAATGTTCTCAACGTGTATCATAGTATTACTGGAGATGTCATACCTAACCTTCCCCAAATTACATTGCTGTCTATGATACCAGGTACATGTAAACAAAACAAACAGGGATTACTACGTCACTTTCTATGTGCTGCACGCACAGTTATCGCTAGGTGTTGCCGTTCTCCGCACACCCCTCGTATGTCACACCAGGTGTGTGAAATAGACTCTGTCAGATGGAGGAGGCAATCAAGGGAAAGGGGCACTAACAAAGTATTTTCACTCACTGGTCTTCTTGGATTTATTACGGGAAAACCAATGTTTTTCAATCATTTCTGTGACTTATGTACTTACTAAGATTTTTGCTGTGTTATGGGCGAAGAGAGAGGTTATTCACCTTCCTCCCTTCCTCCTTAACCCCCCCCCCTTGTTTCCCCCCTTTACAATTATTTCTATAGTTATTCCCATATCAGATTTAATTACAATCTGCTGCCATCCTAATTACATCTATAGCTCTATTTCAGTTTGTGATATTTTCGGAATTCACCATGCCACATATATGGATATATACGTTTTCTTACTATTTCATATAACTTGTTTTTTTATTATATTTCATTTTACATGTTTCTTTGACATCTATATGACTCTGTAATTCACGTTATTTTTCTTAATAAAATATGATTAAATATAAACCTGGGTAAAAACTATAGTAAAGTGATGGTCTCCCTAATCTGTCAGTGTGAAAAATTGGGATTGCAGTCCCCTGATGCAGCGCTACCACGAGGGTGAGGGTGATTGGGTGTGGATTTTTTACGCTAGGTGTGCAGCTTCTTGGAATGCGGAACGGGGTGTCCGACGTATGTCAAAGAGAACAAAAAATGGGGATAGAAGCGCTACTACCATAAGTAATTGGATTTATGCAAAAGTGAAAGACTTACCAAAAAGTAATAGCTGATGCGATATCATCGATGAGGGGTGGATGGATGGGGAACCTCCACTGGTGGGGATTATGAGCAATCAATTGTGCTTGTGGGAAGGTCAGGGGGAATTGAGGGTTTGGGGGGTGCAAACAACATTCACCTGCCCACATTTGCCTTCTCCCCGAGACTCAGCGCTCGTCGCCCCGGGCGTCCCTGCTCGCACCCTCGAGCGCTGAAGTCACACCACTCCCACTGACTCTCCCGGCTCTGCCGCCTGCAGTGTCCATCTCCTGGCAACCGCCTATCACAACATTCTCCGCTCTCTGTGCCCGCCCGCCTCCAGCCGTCCTCTCCCCCTGACACACAGCTTGTTGTCTCGGGCTGGCTTGCTCGTGCCCTCGAGCGTTGGAGTCTCATCACTCCCATCAGCGATTCATTGCTGGACACCTTGGTCTCCATCCCAGTCTCTTACCACCCCCCGCGCACACCCGATCCGTCCAGTGCATATGCCCACAATGACCTGACACTTCCAGCCGCCAGACCCATCACCCTTAAGCAGCAACACAGTGCACACCAGCTGCACCATACCCCTCTCAGTCCCAACAGCATCCAACAGCCCATGTCCACCCGTGCCTGTCACCCCCCTCCCATGCATTAATCGGACCTAGGCTCCCACCACCATCCAGCCCCCCCCAAACCCTCAATTCCCCCTGACCTTCCCACAAGCACAATTGGTTGCTCATAATCCCCACCAGTGGAGGTTCCCCATCCATCCACCCCTCATCGATGATATTGCATCAGCTATTACTTTTTGGTAAGTTTTTCACTTTTGCATAAATCCAATTACTTATGGTAGTAGCGCTTCTATCCCCATTTGTTGTTCTAATCTGTCAGTGTGTCTGTTTGAACATTGCCATTAATACATTACGCTACATTTGTATTTACCATTTTCGAAAGCCCAATTGAACCTTTAAACAAATTCCAGGTGCATCAAAGGTGTTGAATGTCTTGCAAGTAATTTTCTTTCTAAAGCAACCACAGTCTGGGTAGAAAAGCCTGTACCCTTGACCAAGAGCTGCAGAGTGGGACGCTTATTCTCTTTGGGAATGCATTAATAGTTATGCAGAGGTCTGACATGACCCGTAAATAGTCAGACCTATAGTTATGCAATTAGCATCTTTAAGTTTGTCTCCTTTGTTTTAAAAAGGCTGCTCAGTATATAGCGCGCTGTTGCCCGTTATATACTGAGAGCACCGCAGCCGGAACGGATCCCGACAATGCTGTCGAGATCCACCCATCTGTGTGAGTGACAGCTGGCTCTGCCTTTCTAGAGACTGACAGTCACCGCTCCCTGCAGGGTGATGATCGGAAGCGAGTGACGGTATGTGTTCGCTCACTTCCCGAACTATAGAACTTCCCAAACGATTGTCACACATCGGCTCGAACTAGAGCTGCAACAGTTAATCGATTTAGTTGATTAAAACTGACTACAAATCCCAGCAATAATACATTATATACAGTGCAATGCAGAATAACCCCAGCTACAGAGGACTACAAATCACAGCAATAGTACATTATAGTATAATGTACTATTGCTACATTCCTCTATAGCTGCTGGTATTCTGCACTGCGCCGCTGTATAATGTACTATATTGCACACCACACTCCAGACCATACTTCCACCGTGCCAAGCTTGCTCCCGTGATGGACTACAATCTCAATAGAAACTAGTAGTCCATCACTGGAGCCCTTTTTTTTGTTTATCCGATTAGTCGATTAATCGAACTTAATAATCGGCTAACTAATCGATTATGAAAATAATCGTTAGCTGCAGCCCTAGCGCGAACTAAGAGGCTGATTGAAAAATCACTCACCTCATAGTTCTCCTTTAAGCTGAAATTTATAACGTGTAACTCATCCTATATCAGGATGCTACATTTAAAGTGGAAGCAAAAACATTTTTCCATTTTGGAGAGGACAAGGGAAGGTTATAAGACCTGCCAGTTATGTTTTTTTCTTGGACTGCCAGTTTTGTTTTTTTCTTCAGAAAGGGAGTGGAAATCCCTCCAAACTATGAGAAACTCCAGTTATCACCCAACTCAAAATTTGGGATGTTCTTTCACTTTTGGTGATAAGTGACCAGGACAAAAAGGGTGAATTTCCTTAACCCCTTCATGACGGGAGACGTACAGTGTACGTCCCGTCACAAAGTGGCTATATGACTGGCCACGTACACTGTTACGTGCCGAGTTATATTAGCCTCTGTAATGCTGGTAACTGCTGATTCTCAGCCGTTCCAGTCATTAATGAATGCCTCACTATTGAGGCCTTTACATTCAGATACGGGTTCGCTAAATAGCGATCCTGTATCCGACAGCTGAAGATAGCAGAGGTAGCAGTGACTCACCTCTCTGCTATTCGTTTTGACAGCTGGAGAGCCTGGCCCGATGTTAAATGATACATTTCAACCACTAGATACAAAATGTATCTCTTGAGTGAAATGTATCAGTTTTGATCGTCTAGGAACGATCAAAGACCTTTAGTGAGATCTGATTCTGACATGCTGTCAGGATCAGTCTCTAAAGTTATTATTAGCTGTATCTAAGCTCGGAGCAGCCTGATAATAACTAAAAAATGTAAAAAGTTAATTTATTAAGCAGTCATAGTGATTTCTTGATATAAACTGACAAAAAAAAAATATTTTTTTTTTACACTTATTTTTTTTACAAAGTGTAAAAAAATAAAAGTGTACAAAAAATTAGGAAAATAAAACGTTTATATATAAATATATTTGTATACTATAATTATTAAAAAAATTCTAAAAAAAATAATAATAATCAAAACTTGCTGCTGTGGAAGAATCACACAGCAAAAATGTAAAAATGTTAAAAGTGTGTCAGTCATTTAGGAACAGAAACTAAAAACTAGCTCAGTCATGAAGGTGTTAAAGGAGAGCAGAAAAAAAACCTGACAGATTTTCTAATCCCTCTCCACTCAATACAAAACTAAAAAAAAAAAAAAGTTTTTGCTTCAGTTCTACTTTAAGGCTTTAAATCAGACCGGCAACTTCTGTGTGGTGAACCATAGTTATATATTGAATGTTTGTTTTTATAAAACAAAAACTGTATATGTATAAGAAAAAACAAACAATGTACTGAATTACTAAAGTAATATGTACTGAATATACATTTTAGTGTCATTTTAAAGAGTCTGAAACAGCTGCAAAAACTGTCTCCATTGTGGTGGTCACAACCTTTCCCCTTTCTGTTTAGTACTTTTACAAAGATTGAACTCACCTTGCAATATTCATCAATGGGTATTAGACGCCTCACTGCTACATCACGTATGTGACTTCTCCGGAACAGGATTTTTCCTAAAGGAAAAAAAAAAAAGAAAAGTTAGATCTTCTATAACCAATATCTATGAACAGGTTCACAGTTGTTCCACCTCAGACTGATCCTGCCAGTAGATCCATTATTATTCCACCAAGTCAAGTTGGCCAGCAAACTTTTCACTCACAAGTTGGGACAAAACATTTACTTGAATGCATTTTTAAGATTTAACTCCTGAGTTCAGTGTCGCTTTAACAACATTTTCTCGTCAACTGGCTGGTACAGTGCAATACTGCAGCTGTTGACACAATCTGTTTATTTTTACATTACTTCTAACGTATGGGAATATGATCCTGGGATACTGGATGGACTACTCCATTTCTTTTGTTATCATACCATGGCCTTTAGTATTGGTTTATGTTAAAAAATCTGAGGGTTTAAGGTCACTTTAAATTCAGAAGCTCTGACTATCTTCCAAATAATTACATTCTAGAGTTAGGTAATAAAGAGATTTTTCTTTCAGTTGCAGTATGAATGAGAAACACCCATGCACTCATGTCTTCTGCTTTTGTTGGCTTTTCCATCCACTTACTGGACTCAAGCCCTGCTCTGTTTTTCAATATGTTAATTTGCTCCCCCACACCTACACCAAAATGAAAGTTGAACTTATTTTTTAGTTTTGGATTTAGTGTGGAAGGGTTAGAAGTTCTGTAAGGTTTTAAGCGGAAATTTGCTCAATGGGTGCACATGCTGCAAGAACCCCAACAAGGGTTCTAACTCTTCCCCAATTTACTTAAAGTAACACTCTAAGTTTGCCCATTTAGGGCAAAGTGACAGTGTCTGCACATATCCCCCTCCCCACCCCACCCCACCCCCCATACATGTATACTTATCCTGTTATGCTCCCTCACAACCTCTCCACACAATAAGAGCCTATGGTAACAGAGTGTGGTTTTTGGGTATGGTGGAAAATGTAATTTCCCCTATATTATAGTGCTTAGGTCTAAGTAGCCAATCACCAGGACAAAACACTGTCACCTGGGGTGGGGTGCCCTGATGTCTTCCCCTTTTCTAATCTTTAACACCAGTATTTAAGAAAGGTGGGGGATGCTGTGGGGAGTTGGTAAGGAAGTGTGGCTGGTAAGCATACAGTACATGCCTGGGGAGGGTGGTCTATGTGCAAGCACTGGCATTTAGCTCTGAATGGGCAAAGTGACAGTATCTCTTTAAAATACTTGATTTGCAGTCTTAATTGCAATCTCTATAGGAAGCGAGGGGAATTATTTCAAAGTACTTCAAAGAGAGCCATACAAAACTAAATCGAATCTCATTCTATCCTAATCTAAAAAAACAAAAATATCCAGCCTCTAGTCTTTAGAAAAAAAAAAAAGCGGGACTGAGGTTTAGTATGACGGGCAAGGTTGGCTTACAATGTTTTTGGTATGGTTTTTAAATACCAAAAGAAAAAAAAGGTATCAGGTCTGCATGGTTCATTGTACAGGCAAACTTCTAGGATTTTTTCATGTTGAGCATTAAAAAAAATGGTTTACCAAAGTCTCAAGATTTGTTCTCGTTATCACACATGCTTCACCAATGCAATTTTAAAACTTGAATTAGAAGACAAATATAATGGGGTATTCAACAAATCATGCCAAACATGAACAATCTTTTCCTAACACAACTATACACTAAGAATAGTTTTGGAAGAAGACCAAATCAAATATTAGAAACTGCTAAAAAATCAAGTAAACACAACTGCAGTTTAAAGAGTATTTCTTAGCAACAAGTAAAACTCCACATACTTTATCTGTAAACCTTTAATTGTACTATACTTAGAAAGGCCAATCAAATCCCCTTTAATCCGAACTTCAGGCATATTTACGATATTATAACATTCCTGCTAATGCAGTTATGCAATCATTAAAAAACACTACCTATACTTTTAAATACAACTATTTAAGTACAGTATTGCAATTTTATTTTGAAATAACCCTCTTTAAAAAGGAGAATTATGAGGCGAGTGATTTGCACTCAACCTCATAGTTCGAGCCGACGTGTGACAATGAGACTGTCACAGGTTGGCTCAATAGATCTGGGACGAGAGCGAACACATACCGTCGCTCGCTTCTCGATCATCTCCCTGCAGAAAGCCGTGACTGTCACTCACGGCTCCCTGCAGGGATTCTCCCCCCTTCCTGCTCCGATCCTCCACTGCTGACTGGCGGAACGGAGGGGGAAGGGGGTGGGTACAGCTGGCTCTGCCTCTAGATAGGCAGAGCCAGCTGTCAATCACGCAGCTGGGTGGATCTCAATGTCGGGATCCGCCCCGGCTGCGGCGGTCTCAGTATACCTCGAGCTGTAGCTTACCCCATAAAAACACTTATCCCATAGTTCTCCTTTAATCCCCCTTGCAGAAGACCTTAGACTCGAAGAGGGAGGGATAGCATTATGAGGCAATCAGATGTGCAACAGTGTGCATGTGCTTACACTGAACATGCAAGAAATACAGGAGAGAGTAAAATGTGCAGCGATATCATGCACCAGTGGCATTGCTGCCCCAGCTTTGTCCAAACGCAAGTTGTTGCTAATCAGCAGAAAGTTGAGCTAATCAGTAGAAAGGTATCATGGCACACTCACAAGTCAGCATGTAAAAAAACTTGTCTCACCATGTGCTCCAAGATGGAGACTCTCATAGTTTAGAGTTAGGACCGCACTATAAGAGGTGCCTTGGCGCGGCAGTGCGGCTTTCACATCCTTTGCAGAAGACGTGTATCCAAACCTCTGTCATTGTCCTTAGTGGTGAGACAAGTTGTTTTACATGCTGGTTTGTGAGTGTGCCATGATGCCTTTCTACTGTTCTACTGTTCAAAGCCCATTTCGTGTGCACCTTGCTGTATAGTTGGTGGCAAGTTGTTGAGTGTGTTTGTCATTTGTTTTGCTAGAAAGTTGAGCTAGTGACATTATTGAAATTCAGTAGAGAAAAGTCAGCTCTATTGTCCGACAGAGCTGTTGGACTTTGCAAAGAAAACAACTAAACAACTACCAGATTAGCATGTGAATTATACTTGGTTTACACATTACACTTGTTGTGCCTTGTGAATGGTATTCCAACGAACCGTCAGTGCACCACAGTTTATGCATCTGTTGCCCTAGCAAAGATGCTGCCGGAACGATTTAGATCCATTGTGGTGAGTTAGGTAGCCCATTCAAATGAATGGGTTGCCTTAATGCAAGTTAACGTGCCCTGGAATGAATACGCCCATCATTAACTAGAATATGTGCTTTTTCCAGATTAGCATGTGAATTATACTTGGTTTACACATTACACTTGTTGTGCCTTGTGAATGGTATTCCAACGAACCGTCGAAAATTTTCTATGTGAAATTTTACAGGCATCACATAGGTACACATAGCTTAACAGAACACTGATCTTAACTTACACATCAAACCAGTATATCATGTGTTTCAAATGAGGAAGAGTGAAATATGTATGTTACTTAATATTTTACTTAATGGTTCCCTTAATTTCGCCCCTACCATCAATAGCAAGATAAAAGCTGTACATTAGTTGACATTTTTCAACTTCCATCTGTGTAAGTAAAACTGACAAATTTATTTATTTAAAAGCAGCAGACCCGAGTCAGATCCTATAAGTTATTCCTTCCTGCCTTAGGTTTATTTATACTATACTCTAAAGAAATTCTTGCACAGACACATGTTTTCATATATTTCCATTACCGAGCACAGCTTTGATTCATTCATTTTGTCTTTTCTAGGATCAAACATAAAACAAACAGCTAGTAATACTAGCTACATAAACCTGGTCATACATGGAGGTATGCAATCATACAGAAATCAATAATCTGACCTTGTGACAAATCTCTTTTCTCCCTGATATGTACATATGACTATTATTAATTACTACCTATGAGATTGCTTTTATTGTGCATGGTGGTTTCATTTTTGCAGTAAACAGTTCATGAAAATCTTATTCCGTGCAAATTATCTGTAAACAGAGATTTTAAATTTAACTAAAATGTCATTCATACACCTTTACATTTCTTATAATTGTGCAACACTAAGGGCCTACTGCCTTGCTACCAAATGCAGTAATGGGAATATATGAAAAAGTGTCTGCGCAACAATTTCTTTAGAATATAGTGTGCCCACTTACCATTACCACAAGCAGCATCTCGTGCTTCCCTGCCACACGCAGCACCTTCTGCTTCCCTGCCACACGCAGCACCTTCTGCTTCTCTGCCACACGCAGCACCTTCTGCTTCCCTGTCACACGCAGCCCCTTCTGCTACCCTACTACACGCAGCCCCTTCTGCTTCCCTACTACGCGCAGCAACTTCTGCTTCCCTACTACGCGCAGCAACTTCTTGCTTCCCTACTACGCGCAGCAACTTCTGCTTCCCTACTATGCGCAGCAACTTCTGCTTCCCTACTATGCGCAGCATCTCATGCCTCAACAGACACCATGGGTATTGTTTCACATTCTGCCTGTCATGGGTTAAATAACTAAAGCTCACTGGGGCCATGATCAAGTTAGGTAGAGAGCATATAGCAGGACCATGTTAGAAAACAGGGAATATGCTTAATAAGTCTCAACACAAAACACATTTTAAGTGCGATTTCCATGCATTTTCTTCCTTTTCCTTTTTGTAATTTCTGGTCTCCATTTTGTGGGTTGTGGATCTGGTCATGCTTGTAACATTGTAGATTCCTGGAAATAAACCTTTTTACATCGAGCTCCTGGCTATTGAGTGTGGCTTTACATATATTGGATTACTGGTGACGGCTGTGGTGTGTCTGTCTGCCAGCACCTGGCATTTTGGATTGGACTGATGATTCAGGGCATATGCATGTGAGCAGTGTCCTTTTCGCAATCTTTTCTATTGTGTCTGTGTTAGTTGCAAATATTTACATGCGACTAGAAAAACGCAGGGAAATGTATCAAAACTGGAGCAGACAGAATCTAGCGCAGATGTGCAACTAATCAGCTTCTCTCTTTCATTTTCACAGCTTAACTGAACTG